CAGCCTGGTTAACATGATGAAACCCTGTCACTATTTTTAAAAATAAATAAATTAGCCAAGCATGGTGGCAGGTGCCTGTAATTTCAGCTACTCAGGAGGCTGAGGCAGGAAAATCACTTGAACCTGGCAGGCAGAGGTTGCAGTAAGATCATGCCACTGAACTGTAGCCTGAGTAAGAGAGCAAGACTCCATCTCAAAACAAACAAACAAACAAAAACACATGGACACAAAGCAGGGAACAACAAACACAGAGGCCAAATTGAGGGTGGGGGGTGAGAGAACAAAGAGGATCAGAAAAAGTACCTATTTGGTGCTATGCTTACTAACTCAGTGACAAAATAATCTGCACACCAAAGCCTCACGACACAATTTTACCGATATAACAAATCGGCACGTGTACCACGAACCAAACGTAAAAGTTAAAAGGAAGAAAAATCCATGAGTGGAGAATAGTACAATGTAGGTGGAAGGATTTGTTTGTGCTATCAGATAGTGGCCCAGGGGGGCTGTACTCTGATTTGTGTCCATGCAGGCAGACAAGATTATGAACAGGTGGTGCAGAACTGTTGGTTGGTGGAGAAAGCAGGTTGCCGCTGCAGATTCAGTGTACGGGGGTGGGGATATGCCCAGAGACATGTAGACACTTTTGTGGATTTTTGGCAAAAAATAGCAGGATCAAAAATGCTATGGTGAAATTCCTGAGGGCGGTGCCTAGTCCTGGGAGGGGTGTGGACACATCCATGTCTAGTGGGTATGTTTGAGAGTGGATGGGAATCCTGTGGTGGCAGCTGTGGAAAAAAGGGGTCCGTTATCACAGCTCATTTCCTCTAAGTTTTCAGTTCTTGCTTACCTTGGGAGGAGACCTGGAATCACAGGACAACGGGCAGTGTGACAGCCTGTGTACAGGAGAGCAGAGCCTCCCATTCCCACATACCCAGAGTTCCATTCCAGGCCAGGATTCTGTGATATCTCTTCTCTGGTACCAAATCTCTAGAGTTTGTTGAATACCAAGCAATTCTCTAACACCAACTAATTGTCTAACATCTGAATTCTGACACCACCCGGGGTCAGCACAGACCCTGATTCAGGGCTCAGTCCCACAACACTATCCTCACTTCAGATGCCAGTCACAAATTCCATAGGCCCATCTATACACTGGGGTTACCGTTTAAAAATCTGGGACTCCCATAACCTCCCTCCAGTTCAATAATTTGATAGAGCTACTCACAGAATTCAGCAAACACTGTAGTTATGTTGACCAGTTTATTATAAAAGACACAACACAGGAAAACTCAAATGGAAGAAATAGGACCAAGAAAAGAGGTGGGGAAAGATGAAGCACATAGATAATCCTGGTAAACAGCTGTGATTAATAAAATTATCCATCCTTTTTGTTCTCCAGGAACAGTTTATGGAAAGAAACACCCTTCCCATTATGACTTAGATGGTGCTCTCTTTTCTTACTTATCACATAACCAAACACAGACTCCACATTTTCTTTTCTCATTAAAAAACAAAGGACAACAGAAAAAAACAGCTGAATTGGTCTCAGTGGCTAAGAAAAAATACTTCTTAATCAAACTTTACTTAAGTTTATCTTCTTCCCACAGGTTCAGAACTTTGAGCTACCCTCAGTCTGAGCCAACATACACCATTTTATGTCCCAGCTAAGAACACACTGACTTCAGTGTAAAACATTCTCTGATATAAAATCTAATTTTCCCACCCTCTATTTGCCATCTCCTCCCACCTTCTTTCTAATCTTGTCTGCCTCAACTTTGCAATCCGTAAAGATCTTATAGTTGGTACTTTGCCTGTTGCAATACTCCTTTGGAATTCAAATTTTTTTGTACATAAATATAATTTTGTTTTATTTTATAAAGTCTAGAAACTACCTTAAAACAGTAACAACTTCATCTTCAGTAAGACCCTATCAATCCCCTTCCATCTTAACCTTAACTGCATCTGCCTGTGGGTCCCCAGCTTTCCAGGGCTCTGTAGCTTCTCTCAGTATAAAGGCTTCTTCCATGGCTGGGGTGAGCAGGCTGGGACATCTGCAGGGGAGGCTCTCCAGAAAAAACCTAACTGGGCCTTTAATAAGACCCTTTTGCAGGCTCCATATTAGCCTTAGCTTGGAGTCACTGGGCTGAAGCTTTAATTTCCATGTCAGAGGTATTCACTTGGTTTTTCAAAGTGTTTAAAAAAATCCAGCAAAATTACTCAAACACAGTGATCATATAAGGAGAAGACATTTTAAGGTGTTTACATTTTATACCTCAACAAGAAAAGCAAAAGTATCCATTCCTTTTAGATGATAAACATGTTATTTTATAATTTTTATTAAAAATCATGTAGTAAACAATTAGTCATATGGGAACACTTCTGGGAGGTACCAAGTTTTACCATATAATTCAGCATTAAACTCAGAAATCAAGATAACAGGACACAGACCAGAGATATTCACTGTCACAAATGTACCCTGCATGTACAAACTGATGTTTTCACAAATGTAAGTAACTCACCAATCATCTACTACATACTCTTGTGGAAAAGTATTTATTTTCTACAGCCAAAATTAAAAAGAGATTCTCCCTATTTTTTTCCTTGGTAGTATTCTAAAAGCCAAGACTTGGAATTCTGTTTGATCTCACCCGTAAAAGATACACCTGAGAAAATCCTTAAACTCATTCTGGGAAAGAAAAAGATAAATGATAATTTTTAACAAATGGACTATATAATTAGATATTTCTCTCCCTGTTTTAAAAATTTTTACCTTTCAAGTTTTACTAATAAAATGCAATTTACAGTAAAAAACTGAAGTCAAAAAAAGTGAACAAATTTTTCAAGATTATAAACCCCCATAGAGTGGCAGTGCTGATTAGAAAACTGATGTGTTTGACTCCTGTCAAGTCAGGCCATGATCACTTGATTCTCCCACCCCATCCTGCTAAGTGCTCAATGACTGCCCTGTTCGGAGACACTATACCTCAGTTACTGCTCCAGATGCATTTTAGTTTGTAAGTTCTTGCACCACCTCACTGGAGTAAGTTTTTTTAGTTTTTTTTTTTTGGTACACTATTTTAAGGCCAGTACGGCCAACATGGTGAAAGCTCGTCTCTACAAAAAACACAAAAATTAGCCAGGTGTGTCAGCGTGCACTTGTAATCCCAGCTACTTGGCAGGCTGAAACTAGAGAATCGCTTGAACCTGGGAGGCAGAGGTTGCAGTGAGCCACGATCGCCCCACTGCACTCCAGCCTGGGTGACAGAGTGAGACGGTCTCAAAAAAAAAAAAAAAAAAAAAAAAAAAAGTGCACCAGGAGATGCCTGTCAGCCCCATGACATCCATCTGCTCTTTGGAGAAGCTACACTCCATACATGAGACTGTCCTATGGGAGAAAGTGACCCAGGAGCTGATATTCACTAAACATTCTAGCAGATATAGGGATTGTGGGTATCTTGGTTTATCCCGACAGTACTAAAACTCAAAACCAGGAAAACGCTGAGGAGTGGCTGAGGAAACATCACTCCATAAAGTTTCCAAAGGGAAACCTTGACCCAAAAACATTTTGATAAGATCTCTGTGCCTAGGGAAGATTTTTTTAAAAAGAGGCGCAGACATTTTTTACAACACAGTGTCAGGGGGTGATTCTTTGCTTTCTTCTCCTGGGAAATATTTTCAAACAGAAAAAAATTTTTCTAAAGTGCTATCCAATGCTTTGTCAAAAAATGATTAATTAAAATACAGTATCTAAAATGTACACTAAAATAATGTGAATTAGGATGAGGAAGTTGGCATTTCGGAATGTCAGAACTGGAAATTTGGTATTTTACTGCAAGTCAGAGTTAAGCTGGAGGAATTGGGGGTGGGGAGTAGTCTTGAGATTCTGCTTGGGCCACATGTGAAAAATTCAGGGGAAAATCTGTCCCCTGTGGAGTGTGAACATAATTAAGTAGCAGGCAATCAGATTGAGGTAGCTCCAGTCCCAGGGTCCCCATTTAAAAAAAAATTTAACTCAAATTGGCCGGGCGCAGTGGCTCACGCCTGTAATCCTAGCACTTTGGGAGGCGGAGGCCGGTGGATTGCCTGAGCTCAGGAGTTCGAGACCAGCTTGGGCAACACAGTGAAACCCAGTTTCTACTAAAATACAAAACAATTAACTGGGCGTTGCGGCGTGCGCCTGTAATCCCAGTTAGTTGGGAGGCTTAGGCAGGAGAATTGTATGAACCCGGGAGGCGCTGGTTGCAGTGAGCCGAGATCGCGCCATTGCACTCCAGCCTGAGCGACAGTGTCAGACTCCGTCTCAGAAAGAAATGGGAAAAAAAAAAAAAAAATCTAACTCAAACTTTTTGTAAATTACAACATTGGGGGAAACAAAATTCAGGCTTAACCAACCATAAACTACCAATTAACCTCTGATGACATAACCAGGAAATGTTCACCCTGATTTTACAAATTAAGAAACTACATAACGGTACCTAACCAACTACTGGTTTTCTTCATCATACACCTTATAAAAGTCTTTCCTTCAAGCTCCTCCCATGGACCACAAACTACAAACCACAACTGGGTGCTCTATAATTTGTGAACGACTGTCTGATTAAATTCTTTAATATTTTCGGGGTGACTTCCATACATTTTAATAGAAAAAAGGAGGGTATGGGAACCCCACGAACCAAAGCTCTTCCTGTTCATGAACCCTGCACCCTGAGTCATCGGGGAGACATGCGGCGCTGCGGGTGCAGAGCTGCCCAGAGAGGGTTCCAGGCCAGGGCACGGTCACTGCACAGGGACGAGACAGGACGCCCGGGGTCCCGGCTGCCAGCCCAGCAGCCATCTTATGACTGAAGGGGACTGAGGGCCGAGCTGCGCCAAGGAGAACTCCCGGCCGCGGATTTTGGAGTCGACTGCAGGGCAGCCGGAGTCTTGCCACCGCCACTTCCCACAAGTTCCAACCAGCCCCTCCCCCTCTCTCGGGATCTGGGACCCGGCACTCTCACCATTTCCAGGCTTCCAGGGAGTCCTGGCGTCTTAGCTGTGGATCTCCCAATACCTGCAGGTAACGGGGCCACAGAGGCTGAACCTCTAGGAGCAGAGGACACAGAGCAATAAAGACGAGACCCGGAGCTCCGGAGCTCCGGCTGAGGCAGGAGACAAAGGCCCCGCCAATTCCCGGAAGCCGTCCTGTCCGCTCCAGCTGCGTGCCTGATTGGACGGGTCCCAGCCCAGCGTCTCTGATTGGATGATGTTTAAGGACCCGCCCCCTCAGGCATTGAATGGCAGAAGATGTGCTCAGTTGCTGGGCTGAAAGAAGATAGAATAAAACCTAAGCTGCAGGCTTTACAATCAGGGCTTCCTCCCTGAACTGAGCCAGGCCCACCCACAAGGTATTTGCATTTAACCTTGTGTATAAGGTCATATGCATTTGTATTAATAAATAGTATATTGTGTGAAAGGAAAATAAATTTTGGGGCCCCAAAATCACTAAGCTGTAGGGAAAAGTCAAGCTGGGAACTGCTTAGGCAAACCTGCCTTCCATTCTATTCAAAGTCACCCCTCTGCTCACTGAAATGACTGCATATCTGATTGCCTCCTTTTCTGAGGCTAATCAGGAACTCAGAAGAATGCAACCATTTGTCTTTTATCTACCTAGGACCTGGAAGGCCCCTCCCCATGTCCAGTTTTCTTTCTTTCTTTTTCTTTCTTTCTCTCTCTCTCTCTCTCTCTCTCTCTCTCTCTCTTTCTCTCTTTCTGAGTCTCGCTCTGTCTTCCAGGCTGGAGTGCAGTGGCACGATCCGATCTCCGCTCACTGCAACTTCCACCTCCGTGGTTCAAGCGATTCTCCTGCCTCAGCCTCCAGAGTAGCTGGCTAATTTTTCTTTTAGTAAAGTGCTAGGATTACAGGCGTGAGCCACCGCGCCCGACCCAGAGGTAGTTTTTTTTGAGACGGAGTTTCACTCGCATGATCTGGGGTTTTACCATGTTGGCCAGACTGGTCTTGAACTCCTGACCTCAGGTGATCCACTTGCCTCGGCTTCCCGAAGTACTGGGATTACAGGCGTGAGCCACCGCGCCTGGCCTCAAAATAAACTTTCGAAATTAACTGAGATCTGTCTCAGATATTTGAAGTTCACAATTATATGGCTATTAACAAATGGAAAAAATATAATAACATTATTTAACAATTTCAGATTTTACGACCTTCCTAGCTTCTGGTCCTTTAAGCAGACAGCCTGAGATTTTAAAACGGAGGCAATCCTCTGAAACAAAATGTAAGTCACATGTGAATTTTAAACATTCTAGTAGCCAAACTTAAAAAAAAGAAGAAGAAACAGGTGGAATTTATTGTAACAATTTCATCTTTATATACTCTAGTTCTAGAATTCAAATATTCTAACATTCAAAATATTATTTTAATATGTGAGCAGTATGTAATTTTTCATGTAATATATTATTGTATATAATATAAAATATATAATAATATATAATATTATCTATAATATTATACATGACCTCAAGTGATCCACCCGCCTTGGCCTCCCAAAGTAGTGCTAGGATTACAGGCATGAGCCACCGCGCCCGACCCAGAGGTACTTTTTTTTGAGACAGAGTTTCACTCGCATGATCTGGGCTCACCACAACCTCCACCTCCGGGTTCAAGCGATTCTCCTACCTCAGCCTCCCGAGTAGTTGAGATTACAGGCATGCGCCACCATGCCCGGCTAATTTTGTATTTTTAGTAGAGACGGGGTTTCTCCATGTTGGTCAGGCTGATCTCAAACTCCCAACCTCATGTGATCCGCCCGCCTCGGCCTCCCAAAGTGCTGGGATTACAAGTGCTTTTAAGAGAAAGAGACAGACACATCATAGGAGGATCTCATGGCAGAGAAAAGAAAGAGGGGACCGGGCGCGGTGGCTCACGCCTGTAATCCCAGCACTTTGGGAGACCGAGGCGGGCGGATCACAAGGTCAGGAAATCGAGATCATCCCATCCCAGCTCACACAGTGAAACCCTGTCTCTAGTAAAAATACAAAAAACTAGCCCGGCGTGATGGCGGGCGCCTGTAGTCCCAGCTACTCGGGAGACTGAGGCAGGAGAACGGCGTGACCCTGGGAAGCGGAGCTTGCAGTGAGTCGAGATCACGCCACTGCACTCCAGCCTGGGCGACAGAGCGAGACTCCGTCTCAGAAAAAAAAAAAAAAGAAAAGAAAAGAAAGAAAGAAAGAGGATCTAACTTATGGAAGAAATAATCACCTATCATCTGGAATAGCATAAGACAAGCAAAAGCGGTCACAACATGACTACATCAATGAGAAGAAAAAGGCAACCTGGCTGAAAGGACTCATTGGCATCATGAAGCTACATTTAGTAAGCTGAGGTGAATGGTCAGCCTCTGGGATACCAACAGTCTACCAAGAAGACTGAACTCATTCTAATAAAATCAGCATGTCTGCACCATTCTTGTGGAATAGGGTTACAGTATCCTTACAGAAGCCCCATAAAGACCAGTGGGTACCCTCCTAGAATTGAAGTTATGAAAAAGCATACCAGCGCCAGTCACGGTGGCTCATGCCTGTAATCCCAGCACTTCGGGAGGCTGAGGCGGGTAGATCACCTGAGGTCAGGAGTTCGAGACTGGCCTGGCCAACATGGTGAAACCTCATCTCTACTAAAAATACAAAAAGTAGCCGGTGTGGTGGTGTGCGCTTGTAGTCCCAGCAACTCGGGAGGCTAAGGTATAGGAATCGCTTCGGGAGACAGAGGCTGCAATAAGCCAAGATGGAGCCAGTGCACTCCAGCCTGGGAGACAGATCAAGACTCTGTCTCCAAAAAATAAAAGCATACCAGCTTGGTGCCTTGGCTCATGCCTATAATCCTCGTGGCATCGTGGCATGCAAAACTAGAACATGGACACACACACAGTTAGGTTCAGAGTGGAACTTTATAGGCAAAAGAGAGAAAAGAGCTCTCTGCGACAGAGAGGGTTCTTGGAGAAGTGGGTTGCCGGTTTCCGGGTGAAATGCAAGGTGCTTTACAGATGATCTTGAGAAGTTAATGCCTGATTTACATAGGGTATGAAATATTGATTGGATCAGGTGCGCTATTTGTATACAGTGCAAAAAACTGGTTAGGACTAGTTGTGCTATTTGCTTAGGTGCGAAAATCTGGCCACCCCCACCCTAATTTTTTATTATGCAGATAGGTTCCCTGCCTGACCAGCAGCCATATTGCCTAGTTCTTTAACGTAGGCATGATGAGGAAAAGAGGACGGAGCCTCCATGTCGAACATACCTGGCTCTTAGGTAACCCTTTTCTATTGGCACAGCTTCTGGCATTCACTAGTGCAAGGTTCCGGTTTGCTTATCCATGTTTGCAGCTCAATTTTTCAGGCTGCTTTTGGTTAAAAGGGAAACCTTGCCAGGGACTCTTTTACCCTTGCTATCTGCCCAAACAATTTCTTTCTATCTCCTGCACCACTAGCATTTTGGGAGATTGAGGTGGATGGATCACTTGAGCCCAGGAGTTTGAAACCAACCTGGGCAATATGACAAAACACCATCTCTACTAAAAGTACAAAAATCGCCTGACATGGTGGCACAAGGCTGTATTCCCAGCTACTCAGGAGTCTGAGGTGGGAGGATCACTTGAGCCTAGAAAATGGAAGTTGCAGTGAGCTGAGATTTCACAACTGCACTCCAGCCTGGGTGACAGAATGAGACTCGGTCTCAAAACAAACAAAAAAAAGAAAAGAAAAGAAAAGAAAGGAAAAAGCATAAAGCATACCTAATCATCATTCGTTTTCACAGTTTAAAAACCTTGAAACCAGACCGGGTATGGTGGCTCATCCCAGCACTTTGGGAGGCCGACGCAGGCCAATCACATGAGGTTGTGAGTTCGACACCAGCCTGACCAACATGGAGGAACCCCACCCCTACGAAAAATACAAAATTAGCCGGGCTTGGAGGCGCATGCCTGTAATCCCAGCTACTTAGGAGACTGAGGCAGGAGAATCGCTTGAACCCGGGAGGCAGAGGTTGCTGTGAGCCAAGATCACGCCATTGCACTCCAGCCTGGGCAACAAGAGCAAAATTCTGTCTCAAAAAAAAAAAAAAAAAAAAAAAAAACCCTTGAAATTACATTGAACTTCTGCTAATTTTAGAGAATTCTGCTATACTGTACTACAATACTGAACTTTAAACACCTTCCTTAATAGAAATATATATATATATATATATATATTTTTTTTTTTTTTGTGATGGAGTCTCATTTTATCTCCCAGTCTGGAGTGCAGTGGCAAGATCTTGGCTCAGTTCAACATTTGTCTCCCAGTTTCAAGCAATTCTCTTGCCTCAGCCTTCCAAATAGCTGGGATTACAGGTACACACCACCACACCTGGCTAATTATTGTATTTATAGTAGAGATGGGGTTTCACCATGTAGGCATGGCTGGTCTGGGACTCCTGACCTCAAGTGATCCACTTGCCTTGGCCTCTCAAAGTGTTGGGATTACAGGTGTGAGCCACTGCACCTGACATAATATTTCCTGAATGCATAAATAGTTATGTAGATAGTTTATCTTAGATTAACATGATAAAAGTAACAATTAAAGACAACATTTTAAATGGGATAAAATTAACCAAAACCACCTTTTTTTCAATGGCTTGGCATAATTGCCATGTTTTCTGAAATGACAGATTACTAACAAGAAGCAAAGACAAGATTTTTGCTTTGCTCAGTTGTTAAGTTTTGGATCTTTTGAAATCTAAAATTCTGGCTAAACAATTTGAAGGGAGAATTCTTTAGGTGGTTTCCTAGGGTTTCCAAGGCAATACAAGAAGAATTTTGATAGGCAGGAAAATGCATGCTATATACACATATTCTTCTCTGATTTGCTTTCATATTGAAAATTGAAAATTGAAAATCTAGTCTCTTAGAGTAAGTTAACAAAAGATTTATTTTTCCGCAAGGCAAATAATTGTAGAAAACTGATGGGGAACAAATGCCATTAGCTGCCAAAAACAGTATGACTAGATTCAGTGAGTATCTAGCCATGCAAATGACAGCCCAGTTAGTTACATTAAGACCCCGAAGGTGCATGTGGACAGCATTTCCATGCAGTGTGGTGCACCTCCACTGGGCACCTTCTTCTGCCTGTTTACAGAGATGCCGATTTCCCCTGAGTGACTCAATGTGAATACTAGAAACTGAGAGTGCTGTGTTCAGAGGGTTTACACATGGTTAACACACTTTTACCATATTACAATAAAATTTGATGTATCCAACTCTGCCTCAGAAAGGCTTTTAGTAAAAGATTGTTTATTTATAGTACTCAATCTGGATTCATGAAAAATTATAATATTCCAGGTAAGTCACAGACACTTAAATGTCAACCCAATTCCATAAAACACACTTGAATGAGATAGTCTTCTTAGCCAAAAATTTTATCAGTAATAACAGTGTTCAGCACGTGAGTACTACTGAAATGAGTGCTCTTCATTGTCATCATTAAAATGGCAATAGCAGCATGTGCTTTCCTGTCACCAGCTGGCTTGCTTTTCATTGGTGTAAAGTGAAGAAGGTGTTGAAACAGAGAAGAAAGGTGATAGAAATTGAATACTTACATAAAATACAATTTTTAATAAAAAGTAGCATTTGATGTACAACTACAGGTAAGACTTGTATGAAGTCATAATGTTGTCCTATTGACAGAATAACTTTATTCACAATATTCTTATTTCAAACAATATTCCTTTTTTGGCTACATATATGCCAGCCTTTTGGTGAAATATTACCTGAGCTCAATAGAAATCAACAAAATGAGGCCGGGCGCGGTGGCTCACGCCTGTAATCCCAGCAGTTTGAGAGGCCGAGGCGGGCATATTATGAGGTCAGGAGATTGAGACCATCCTGGCTAACACGGTGAAACCTCGTCTCTACTAAAAAAAAAAATTAGCCAGGCGTGGTGGCAGGCACCTGTAGTCCCAGCTGCTGGGGAGGCTGAGACGGAAGACTGGCGTGAACCCAGGAGGCGGAGCTTGAAGTGAAAGGAGATCGCCCCCTGCACTCCAGACTGGGCGACAAAGCGAGACTCCATCTCAAAAAAAAAAAAAAAAGAGAAAAAGAAATCAACAAAATGAATCTTTATTTTACCAGAAGCACTTTAGTATTGATGCATATGCTTATTTTGCTTAAAATACATTAGCTTTTTGGCTGGGCACTGTGGCTCACGCCTGTAATTCCAGCACTTTGGGAGGCCGAGGCAGGTGGATCACGAGGTCAGGAGATCGAGACCATCCTGGCTAACACGGTGAAATCCCGTGCCTACTACAAAAAATTAGCTGGGCCTGGTGGCGGGCGCCTGTAGTCCCAGCTACTCGGGAGGCTGAGGCAGGGGAAAGGCGTGAACCTGGGAGGCGGAGCTTGCAGTGAGCTGAGATCTCACCACTGCACTACAGCATGGGCGACAGAGCAAGACTCCGTCTCAAAAAAAAAGAAAAGAAAAGCTTTTTATGAGAGACACACTTTTCTTTCAGTGATTTCTGTACTGCTGAGAAGTGGTTGTTCTACCAGGAAACTGCTGTTCTCAGCTCTACCAACATTGACTAAGAGTGAGTGAAAGTGATGTGTGGATAAGAAGCAAATGTGTCTTCTCTTCATCTCTTTTTTAATGTATTCACTGAAGAAAAAAAAGAATGCAGATAGATGAAAAATAATATGATTCCTGAAAGATCATGAAGTCCTCTTAACATGAAAAAAACCCCAAAAAACTAAACTAAACAAAACAACGAAAAAACGAAAAAAACCACAGGGGATAGTGATGCGAGCAGAAAATATATTATTTTTCTAAGCCTTTGAAATTTCAATATACCACCTGCATTTCTTTAACAAATACATATTTCCTTCAGTTTTGACTCCTCAGGATATGATTCCATTCCCTGGTGAATCAAAACTGAGAGAAGAATAAATTATATGTTAAGGTAAGAGACATAGGGAAGACCCATTACTTTTGACCCACATCTCCTCCACCCCCAGCCCCAGGCAATCATCATTCTACTCTCTGCTTCTATAGTTTCTGTGCTAATTTTACTTAGCATAATGTCCTCCAGGTTCATTGAGGTTGTTGCAAATAACAAGAGTTGCTTCTTTTGAAGGGCTGAATAGCATTCCATTGTGTAAATATACAACATTTTCTATATTCATTCACCTGTTGATTAGCACTTAGTTTGATTCCATACCTTAGGAGTAATTGTGAGCAATCCACTTCCTTCCTTTTTTTCATTTGCTTTTAACTCTTTTTATTTTTATTTCTAGAAGTATTTTCATTTAATAATATAATTTATGACTGCTACATATCTTCATTTGAACTTGATTTGGGTCATGAGCTATGAACCCAGGAGAAATTCTTTTACATCCTTGGAGCTTCGATCTACATTATTAATAAAAGATACTATTTTTCCAAGGATTGTTTTAATTTATACATAGTAGCTACAAGCATTTTTCACCGAAAAGCTCTTCTAAATATATTACAGTAAATATTTAAGAATAAGAATAAAATCATTTATATTTCAAAGATTTTTTTATACTTGACTGGATATATTTTGTCATATTTAATGTATTTATTCTTTCTGAAAAATGCCAAAATAAGAATTTTATTATTTTTCCTGGAATAATAGACTATAGGTTTCTGTACTGTGATTTTGCTAATTTGCATTTATTAGTACTACCTTTCAATTTTTCCTTACGTGGTATAAGGTTATAAAAATGCCTTCCAGTTGATTTATTGGGTAATAGCAGAATCTGTTTTCTCAGTAGCCTAAGAATTCTTGATATACCACTTTTAGAGGTACTGAATACAACTGGATATATGTGCTAAAATATGGATTTATTTATAAGCTCATTAGAGACTAAATCATAGCAACACGTTATAGTTCAATATTTTTATCTAAATTCTTGTTGAGCCACATCTATCTATACATGTTGAGTTGCCAACAGCTTTTTATATTAAGCCAGAACTCATTTTTTACTAAGCCAGAACTCATTTTACCTTGTGGTTTCACTTGAAATGTATGAACTGCTATATATATATATGTATAAAACTTATATATAATAAGTAATAAAAATTTAATTCAAACACTATGGAAAGAAAAGTCATACAGGCACACTGTAAGTGAATTGGAATCTGGCATGTGACACTGATTAACAGGTTGTGCAGATTCAACTAGACCTAAATCCCTGAAACAATATTGAAAGACATAATTTTTAAATTAAAAATATATTTGACAATTTAATAGACCTATGAAATTTGAAAAAAATCAATTTGTTTACTCATCATCAATCAATACTAGGTTAAACTAAAAAATTTTAAGCATAAAAAAATAAAATTAATTAACTATCCCAAGTTACTGTGATTAACGCAAGACTTCGGTGTATTTGAAAACACCAAATTATTAATTAAAAATATCCATTTTGAAAAGATCTTCGAATTTTTTTTTTTCTTGAGATGGAGTCTCGCTCTGTTACCCAGGCTGGAGTGCAGTGGCACAATTTGGGCTCACTGCAACCTCCACCTCCTGGGTTCAAGCGATTCTCCTGCTTCAGCCTCCCGAGTACCTGAGATTACATGCATCTGCCACCACACCCAGCTAATTGTTTTTTGTATTTTTAGCAGAGACAGAGTTTCACTATGTTGGCCAGGCTGGTCTTGAACTCCTGACCTCGTGATCCATTCGCCTAAGCCTCCCAAAGTACTGCAATTACAAGCATCAGCCACTGTGCCCGGCCCGATCTTTCATATATAACTACTATGTAAATACTAATACTAATATGTTTGATTTATGGAAGATTTGTGAATGTCTATCACTGTAGTTAAAAATCATAAAATTATATAAATATACTGTCTAAACAATTTTGATTAAAATATTTGGTATTTTATTTGAGTACCAGTATTTATATAGTATGACAAATTCAGGCTTATTTTGTGAAATGGTAAAAGAGTATTTTACTTTTTTAGAAAAGTAAAAAGTATTTTTATTTTTTTTACTGTTGTGCCATTTTATAAAATAAGCCTACATTTGTGGAGAAATTTTTTAAAGAAGTCAATCTTTTCTAAAGGAAGATTTATACATCAAAAACTAGAGATATAAATGTCATAATATATACATCATTTTCTGAACCCTACAGTAATCTGTAATGTTTGTTTGTATACACCAATCTTAGATTACTTAAAACATAATAAAGTTTTTTAGTGTTATATTTGACATACAAAAGTTCAAAATATATCCAGATGGACAGGAACTATGGCTGCCACTTTAAAAAAAAAAAATGATTGGCCGGACATGGAGTCTCATGCCCATAATCCTGGCACTTTGGGAGGCTGAGACTGGTACACCACTTGAGGGCAGAAGTGTGAGACCAGCCTGGCAAACACAGTGAAACCCTGTCTCTTCTAAAAATACAAAAAGTAGCCAGGTGTGGTGGCACACACCTGTAGTTTCAGCTACTCTAGAGGCTGAGGCAGGAGAATTAATTGAACCCAGGAGACGGTGGTTGCAGTGAGCCCAGATCGTACCACTGCACTCCAGCCTGAGCGACAGAGCAAGGCTTCATCTTAAATAAATAAATAAATAAATAAATAAATAAATAAATTAATTAAAACAAATGATGTAGCACAAAAAGAACTTGAAATAGTAAACTAAACTGTGACAGTTTAGATCAAAAACATGAGAAATTACTTTTTATTTGCACTTATGCTTGCATTTATGCTTAATTACCTTTATTCATTTGGGAACATGTAGGAAATGATGTGGTGGTAACTTGCTGGGTGGTGACTAGGACAGTATTTACTGTCCTAGGGATGGTGAGATCCAGTGCACCAGAATTGTCAGCACCTCACCATGTTCCCTGCTGTCCTTTCTCTCTGTGACTAAGATTCCTGAGAGAGGAAAGGAAGGGGAGGGGAGGGGAGGGGAGGGGAGGAGGGGGAAAAGAGGGGAGGGGAGGGGAAGGAAACAGGAGGGAGGAAACAGAGCAACTCACCATTGCACCTCCCATGCTGGTCAGAAAATCTATTTATGGTGGGCCTACTGTGTGTTGCTTGGAGACTGCATGACATGTTCATACCTGCCCTCAAGATGCCATCAATAGGGGAGCCAGATAAGTTAGCAATAATTAGCATGCATGAGCTGCTATTCTCTGCTTTAGAGGCTGCTCCTCTTACTTGGTATCTACTTGTAAGGAAAATGATCCATCTCTAAAGATTTCTATTTACTGAAAGAAAACAGAACATGATGGACTGTTCTGGTACACAGCTTCTTTTAAGTTATGGAAAGATGTTCATGATAGACTGTGTTCAGTGAAAAAATGGTATGCCATGCATGCTCGAAGTTGTGAAAAATATACACTTTAGGAAAGGGTTATATCAAAATGTCACAGTGTTTGGTTGTCTCTGAGTGATGATGAGTCTTAATGATACAGGAAGTAGAATAAAATTATTTGATGGATAGTGAGCATAAAAGAATACTTGGCAGAGCTTCCCTTTAGCAAGAGAGCCAAATAAATTTTTTTCTTACTAACAAAGATCGGCCTGAAAAATGGAGCTGTAAACATAGATAAGCAGGCTGAAAGCTTGGAAGGGTGAATGCTGGCAGCTGTGCCAATAGAAAAGGGCTGTGAGCCAGGCATGTCCAACATGGAGGTTCCATTTTTGTTGTTGTTGTTGTTACTACATGTACAGTAAAGAAATAGGCAATATGGTGCAGCTCAGGAAGAAGACCTGCTTACATAATATAAGATTAGGGTGGGAGTGGACACAAATTTTCACCCTATGCAAATTTTCCATTATCCATGTAAATGACATATCTCTAACCAATTTTTCATGCTCGATGCAAATGACATACCTGGTCCAACCAATCTTTCACGCCCTATGTAAATCAAACACCGCCCCCCTCATCAGGCATCTATAAAATCCCCTGCATTTCACTGTGGATCCTGCAGCCCATTTGGGACCTCTCTCTCTGCAGCGGAGGGAGCTTGTCTCTTTCTTCCACCTATTAGACTTCTGCTCTTAACCTCACTCTTGTGTGTCCATATCCTAGTTTTTTATGGCCATTAGACAACAAATCTCAGGTATCACCCCAGAAGAACAAGGTTGCTTCATTAGGTTCCTGGAAAATGACACTGAACCCCTGTCCTGGGGAAGACAGAGAGGATGGCCATCCAAGGTCATGGATTCATTCCTAGCTTCTCTTCTATTTACCATAAAAACAAGACTAGCTGATATTACTGAGCACTATGAGCCAAGCATGGTTGCTAAGCAAATTACATAATAACTCATTTAATTCTCCCTTAGCAACTCCGGTAGGCCTAGCTGATTCCAGTGCTTGTTTTCCATTGTTTCTCCAAGTGTGGCAGCATTTAGGAGAATTGTTTTCTTTCTTTTTAGGTTTGAATACTGTTTTTTATCTATGAAAGAGGATACTCTGATTTCTCCTAAATGATTGATACATTTAAACATTGTTGCAATATCCAGTTATTTCTTTTCACTGGAAGGAAAGGAGGCATGCAGTTTTATTTCTGTCAGCATGCTCAGGGCCACAAAGGTGTGGACACCTAGGAGCCAGGGTCATTTTCTGAGGACAATGAGAGTCATCGAAAGGCACAAGCAGGTGAGGGACAGATTGGGGTGCTGGTTTGAAAGCGCAACATGGAGCTTCCTAAGGTGCAGGCAGCTTGGAGGCAGAGAGGCAAGTGAGAGGCAGGAGTAGCAGCCCAGGCTGTCACCGAGGAGGGGACAATGTAGCAAAAATGGAGAAATGCACATGGGTCTGAAAGGTTTAGATAAATGTGGATTTCAGCACCTCCTCTCCCACACCCCACTTATCAGCTGTGAACCTGGGACAAGGCACTCCTTTCTGTGTCTTTATGACTTAGCTGAGGTGACCACTAAATAGGAAAAGTGTCTGACTGGTGACACATAATAAGTAGCTGCAAGTGGTAGCTTTCTTCCCTATTCACTTGAAGCAGAAATTGGTGACCAGTTTTTCCCTCTGAGTTGTCCAGCTGGCACCAGAGAAATTCTGAGGCTGCTTATTCAGACAGGACCACCATGCCTGGGCAGCATGGCAAATCTGATCCTTGGACCAGTTTGGAAAAGGTTGGGAAGGAGACAGAGTCAGAAAAACTGGGCCAGATGCCTGTATTCCAATTTATACCCAGGCCTAGGCCCCTCTGGTTCTGGCTGTGCTGTGCCTGTCTGGGTCCTGAGCCAAGTCATACTTGGTCCTTACCCCTGGAAGGTCACCATAGACCAAGGAAAACTCACCAATACAGCCACTGGGTAATGCCAGAGAATACGCAAGCCATCTTCTCATGCCGAGGCCTTATTAAACCCCAGTGGCTACCCTGGGAGAGAGGTGCCATTGTCTCCATTTTAAAGATAAGGAAACTGCAGCTTACAGAGAGATATGGCCAGAGTTGTCCAGCCTGGGAGTGGCTGAGGCAGAACTGAAGTCATAACTTGCCCAGCTGCAAGGCTTGAGTTTTCAGCCTTGCTCAGAAGACATCATCCTGCCCAGGTCTGGATGCAACCTCACCCACCTGTGACTCATTTCTGGGACAACCGGAAGGAACAGGAGGTTCTATTTTGAGCAAGGGGGAGCCCATGCCAAGCACAGCTACCCGCCCCTGCAGAAATGAGTGGGGCTGAAAGCTTCATGGTTTCCAGCTTTTCATATCTACCCTGAGCCAACAAAGGCTTGTGGCTGTTGGCACACAGGTAAATTGTCCAACCTCCAGATGGAGCAGAGCAATGGTGAAGGAAGCTTGCTGGTTCTTGTCTCAGCTCAGCCACTTCTGAGCTCTGTAGTCTTGCACCAGCCTTTGCCCCATCACTGAGACTGTTTTCTGCCTTACAATGGGGACACTGATACAAAGCACACACACAATGTGGATGAAAAGAGATAACGGGTAAAATGACCTCACCTGCCAGGGAGTCCACGCTCAGAGAACTCTCATGCTCTTGGGTGGAATATTTCCTCAGAGAAATAGAGCTTGGAGGTCAGGGACATGGGCCCTGCCACTGACCTGCTCTGTGACTCTGAGACAGTGGCTTCCTCTCTCTGAGTTCGGATCCACACTGGGCAGGCTGCTCTGATCTCCTGTGTCCCTATGATGGGAAGGGAGTTGGTCCTCCCCAGCTTGTCAGGGAACCGTTGGCCATGGCTGAGGGCAATCTGGCCCCAGTGCCCTGGCTTATTGGAACAGCAGTAAAAGGCAAACACAAAACCCAGACCGCAGGTGACCAGGGAACCTGCTCTCCTTGAGTCACAAGGATATGTTGTGATTGAACCTGTGACTCTGTCCACATGCTGCTCCTCTGCAGGGATGCTGCTGTTCACTCCTACTCTACTGAGACAGGCAGATATCCTCGCATGGGAGAATTCTCTCTCTTTCTCTCTCTCTCTCTCTCTCTCTCTCTCTCTCTCTCTCTCTCTCACACACACACACACACACACACACACACACACACCCCTAACCTACTTCCTCCAGGCTCGTAAACCACCTGTCCACAAAAGCTGCCTTCAGCAGCCCCTTAGCCTGTGAGCTGCCCTCATCCCCCTCACAGCCCTGAGTGAGGGTGCGCAGCCTCCTTGGGCAAGAGGATGGAGGCTCTGGGAGACTGCGTCGCACATCTCCAGTCCCCAGAGCGGGACCTCTCACCTGTTGGGGCAGTGACCCGGGTCTGAAGCACCTCAGTGCTGCTCATGATTGCAGAGGATGTCCTCACCAGATAGGGGGTCCTGGAGGGCCTGGGGATTGGTTTCTGACTGCCAGCAAAAGAAGCCGACATCGAGGCAGCAGGCGACAAACACGGAGGCAACTGACTTACCCGACTTTAACCCTCAGGTTTTTTAAATAAAATGCAAATGTAGGGGCTTGGGCTCAGGACTCCTGGAGCCCCGTGGGGCTGAGCGTGGATGGTGTTCGGTGTCCGGCTTCACTCCCAAACCGCACCTGGAGCGTTTGCCGGGCGGAGGGGCCCCAGGGGGACGGTTCCCGAACAAACCCAGGCGGCTTCGGTCAGCAGCAGCCCTGCTGCTTTTCCACAGCGCGGGGACCCCCATCCCCGCCAGCCCCATCGCACTGTCCCTCTCAGGTCAGAGGAGCCCGTGGAGGACTGCGTGGCATCAGGACCTGCCAGGAGCCAGGGCGACCTAGAAGAATCCGGGAACCTGGCGTCCAGCGAGGACGCAGCCCCCGGAGAGGAGAGGCCACCCCAGCAGGAGTGAGAAGGGGCTCCGCGCTGCTGGGCGCCCGTGGGAGCTGCAGGGCCCTGCCAGATGACCCCGGGTCCGGACCCTCCGCACCAGGTGTGGGCGCGGAGGGCACGCGGTGGGTGCGGCTCAGGCACCGGCGGGCGAGAGCCTGGACACCGCCGGGAGCCTGACCTCCTGGCCCTTTGCGGGAGGGGAGCTGGGCCAAGGAACAGCGCCAGCCCCTCACCACAAGCCGGCGACCCCACGACTGCAGGGGCTGCCGCCTCCAGCAGGTGAGCTCAGCCCGGGCGTCCCCTCCGCAACAAGGCCCGGATCCCTGCCTGGCTCCTGGAGCCCGGACTGTGCCTTCCGCAAAAGGGCTGCGCTCCAGGTACAAGAAACGTTCTTCGCTCCCTGCTTTGTGGGCACTCGGTTCCTTGTAGGCTGTTCTGCTTGGCCTCTTGCCCTTATTAACCTTGACCGCGGCGGCTGGGTGGACGGGGGCTGGACACCCTGAGCTCCACCCGAGTTTTCTCTTGCTGGGTGACTTGGGCTCTGGCACTCAGGACCTCCGTTTCCCTGGCAGATAGATGAACATTGCTTGAGCCACTTTGTGTTCAGACGGTTTCTTCTTTTCAGAAAGTGGCCCCCACCGTGCCCTTCCCGGCAGCATGGAGTCGACAGTGGCAGCGTTTCTATCCCGCTCTGCGGGGCTGGGTGTGAAGGGGACTGTCCCATCCCGCTCCGGGAGCGGCACCTTTCTCTCCGCAGACTTTGCTGAAGAGGCGGCCCCCTGGTCAGGGGCAGAAAACAGATCCAGGCCGCCCCAATCCTGCTGGGTGGTGGAGAAAGAGGGCGGGCAGGTGCTAAGTGCTACTGTGAAACTAAAAATCATCATAATGAAGAGAGAATGGGTTTCGTATCTCTTAATTCTCACCATCAATAGGGTATTCATGGGCCCATTTGACAGAGGAGGAAGCCATCTGGAGAAGTTCCCTTCCTTGAGAGCCAGGCCGTTCCCTGTCCAGCCCCGTGTCACCTGCTTCCCTTACAGCTCGCCCTCTCCCCCTCTCATCTTCATAACACGCTTGCCCATGGGGGCAGGGATTTGTGCTCACAGGTGTTGAGCAGCCTGTGCGAGGCCACAGAGCTCACGGGAGGAAGGACCCCCATAGTGACAGGGACAGCTGAGGAGGGAGCGCCCTCCTCTGGCTGGAGGGTGGGGTAGCAGCAGCTGCCAGGCTTCAGGGAATGGGGTGAAATGAGGGCCGTAGGGGCTCCCCAGGTGGAAGCACAGGTCTGGCAGAGGTTCCCAGGTGTCAGGAGTTTGAGTGAGCGTCAGGGAGGTGTGTGAGGAAGGTGGAGATAGGTCCCACTCGGGCAGGTCCTGCCTGAGTGCCAGCATTGGGGCTGGAACTTAACAGGGATGGGGGAATTTTCTGCCTGCCCTGGGGCTGGGGTTATGCCCTCATGGCAGGTAGTGCTTCCTGCTTCCCCCACCAGGATGCAAGTTCTGGAGTCGCACACAGTGAGGAACCAGTGACCCACCCGACCACCCCTCTGAAATGGGTCAAGGGGAACCCTGGGGCAGGACACCCTGCTGAGAGTCAGAGCCCTGAACTATCAAGAAAAAAAAAAGAAGAAGAAGAAGCAGGCACGGTGGCTCATGCTTGTAATCCCAGCACTTCCGGAGGCTGAGGCGGATGGATCACGAGGTTAGGAGTTCAAGACCAGCCTGGCCAACATAGTGAAACCTTGTCTTTACTGAAAATACAAAAAGATTAGCTGGATGTAGTGGTGGGCGCCGGTAACCCCAGCTACTTGGGAGAAGAATCACTCGAACCCAGGAGGCAGAGGTTGCAGTGAGCCGAGATCGCACCACTGCACTCCAGCCTGTGCAACAGAGCTAGACTCCATCTCAAAAACAAACAAACAACAACAAAAAACACTGCACAATGGAGGGCTATGCAGGGCCACATGGAAGAAGGGAGACCCACATGGAAGGAGATGATCATGAGGCCAGGTGAGAACATGCAAAGGGCAATTGCAGGGGCTGGTTTGAGGTGTGGGAGGAGTTAAGTCAGTAAGGTAGGCTGTGCATTTTAGAGAAAGCTGCCTGTGTCAAAGACTTACAGGTGCACACATTCACAGCATGGCCTCCACTTCATACATCAGAAAATAATGATAGACCTAGCTTTGCACACACACAGGGATTTGACCCAGATGAGACCTTAGTGCAAATCCAGTACCACCCATGGAAAAGTATCTCCCTAAGGGCCCCAGTGTCCTTGGGACATAATACTTTTGCGAGGAATAAGTAAAGGGACATCTGTAAAGTTCTTGGTGTCATGGCCAGCCTGGTAAGTGCCCAGCACCCATCTGCTGCCACTATCATAATGTGTGCAGGCCAAGGAAGAAATGGACAGGAGACTTCCACATGGGGACCATGCTCATCTCTGGGAGGCAACATTGGTGATGACGTGTGTTTTCCATTTTCATTCTCTTCTGTGGTTTCCTTCTTGTACCACAATGAGCAGAAATTACTGTTTTGATGGAAAGTAAAAAGTATCATATGTCACCTCATGCAGGTGTGCCCAGGTGTGAGTTCCTTTTGCATTAAGGACTCCACTGTACCTGGCTTTGGTTAAGATCCTTCACCATCTTGGTCTCAGTCTCTTCAACTGTACCGTGGAGATTGGGGATTACCTCAGACAGCTGATGTGTGAGGGTTACATGAGATGACAGTGGCTGAGTTTGTGAGTGCACATTGACTGCAGACTCAGTACCACGGCATCAGATTATAATGGAAGATGTCTTAGCTCTGCACCAGGTGCCCAGTAAACATGTAGCGATTGTCAGGTTATATTAGTAGAGTTACATTTTCTCCACCAAGTGCAAATTCAGTTTCTTCTTCTGTGCCTTTTGTGACAGTGAGCTCACTTATCTTACTTTCCAGATGCAGTAGAAATGCCTACATTCGGTCCAGCTCCATTCTGCATACTGACATGTCTACCCCACCCCACTTTAATGAGAAAACCAGCTCAGTAAGGTGAAGTAACCTCCCAGGGGTCACACAGCAAGCAACAGTTCATCAAATGCCCCAGGCTCATTCAACTGAGTAGGGGAGGCCCCTTCAGAGCCTACTGTGTGCTGAGCTGGGCCTGTGAACCTTGTTTCTTCCTGAAAGCTGCTCTGCAACAGACGACTGTGTCCTCATTGAATAGGTGAGGAAGGAAGCTGCCTTGCAGAGGTGGAAATCTAGAGAACCTAGTCAGCGTCAGTGTGGTTTCTCCCACCTAAGCCTGCATAATTGTCACAGTAGCTACCTTTCTGGTCTCAGTCTCCCTGCTTCTGCCCAAGGCCCCTGCAGTCTTTTCTGACCTCAGCGGTAAGCCAGAGTGATTTGTTTAAACCAAGATCGCAGTCCTGTGAGAATTTGAGTAATGGAAACCATGCCAGTCTAGGAAGAAGAGCGCATCAGGATCTGATCTGGGCCTTCCCTTTCCTTCTAACTTTCTCATCTCCTCCATTCCCTCCCAGTTGATGTCTGCTTTGGTCAATGGCACTGTGGCCCCAGCACCACCTTACCTATCTTTAGAAGCTTTTCCGTGGGCGGGCTTCTCATATCCAGTGAACCTTTTGTGACCCTGTCCCTCCCCTATCACCAAACCCCAGATCCCCTCTTATGCCTCCTCACTTCCTCTCCTTCTCTCCTGTAATTGCTTCTCCCTCTAGTCTCAGTATTAACCCAGGGCAACCTAGAGGTCTGGAGGTGTAGGTGCGAAGTGACCCTGGGATGAACACACACAGATTCATGAGACTCTGCAATTCCTAAAGGGTAGAGAGTGGGACCTGGTATCACCAACGTGAGGACTTTCCCACAGGACAGGTGACTTAATGAGTAGCAAATGTGACCAAGAGATACCATTTTACCAGGCAGACAGTGAAGGGGCAGAAGAGAGGAGAGCTGGGAGAACCTTTTCTGTTTTCTCTCTGATCCATTTATCTCTGTCCTAACCGAAGACCTGCAGGAGAGGCAGTGACTTGCTTAAGGTCACAGCACCTTGGAGGAGACAAAGCCAGGACTACAGAGAAAGCTTGGGGAGGCATTGGGTCTCTGTTGACGATTCCTAAGGCTGGCTCATCCCTGCCTTATCTTGGGGTAGTGGGACTATCCCGTGGATCCCCCAGAGAAGACAGGCGAGAGTCCAATGCCAACACATGTCCACAAAGGTCCCTGGTCCACGAAGCGGGAGAAACTTGTCACCAGGCAAAGGTGGCATACACTGAGACGTGAGGTAAGGCTCACTGCTCGCGACAGGTGTCCCGCGACTGGCGCATGCGCATCCTCGAGGCAGGCGCCGCGACCAGGCTGTCAGGGCTGTCGGCCTGCCTGAGCAGAGGAAAATGGGACAGGCAAAGTCGGCCTAGTCTCGGGAAAATGCTGCCTGCGACAATGACTGTGGAAGCCTAAAAGTAACGACCATACGGCATCCTTGGGCCGTCTCATTAGTCGGGTCCCGCTGGAGGAAGAGGCGATTCCAGTGGGCTCTGGGAACAGCTCTTTGGACTCCATTCCCGAAAGAGTCTGTGTGCAAGAATCCGGTCCCAGGAAGAAGGGAATACAGTCTGGTGAGTTGTTGAGGGATCTCCGGGTGATGGAATCATACCTGAGACCCCAGAGGAGAGTGTCAGCGGAAGATTGCGGGGCCCTTGAACTCACTGTCTCCCTTCATCCAGGGTCTCCCAGGGGCTCCTGCTTCTCAGTACGGCTGTCTGGGTTAGGCAGAAACGACAATAAAGGCAAGTCCAAGGTGGAGAAGAGGTCTCACACCTGGAACTGGCATCCAACAAGGGCACATAAGGTTGACAGAGTGTTTCATAAACCGTCTGGTGTGATTGCAAGCCTGAAAAGGGTGCCCAGGAGTGCTGTTGAGGGGCACTGTGGATTCCCCATGAAAGCAAAGGGAAATAAAGGCTCAAATGGGAGAATGAGAGGGTTTGTGCTGGAGTCAAACCCAAGTTCACGGATTCTTGCCAGAGGACCCAAGAGACTCGTGTAAAGTGCAAAAAACCCCAGCCCCCAAAATGAGACCACCACCTACAACCTGGAGGGCAGTCAAACTATTGAAAATCCCTTGAGCTCACTAAAATCCCTGGCAAGCAAAAGATCTGTGGCAAGAGGCAGTCACACCCAGTCCAAAAAAGAACCAACTCCACAATGAGAAAAGACATGCAGATGAAACGAAAGAGAGCCTAGATTACCAGGCAAAAACCAGACTTGGCTGCCTAGGTCTCATCATATAGGAATCATGCTGTACTCCTATAGAAGTGGGAGAACAAGAGTTTCATTGTTGGCAGATATAACGGGAATTTACTGTTCCAAAAGTATCACAGCTGTCTAGTCCTTAAAACCTGACAGTGTTTAGAAGAAAACAGTCATACAATGGTCCCCGTGAGGGTCGTCCTCCCTGAACAGCGAAACGTTGACTGTGGAAGCCTTTGAGCCAGACCCAGGAAACCCTAGGCCCACGAGAAACATGGAAGTCAGGAAAAGAGGAGGCGGGTGTGCAGGGCACATACCAGCCAGCCTCAGTCCATCCCACTCCCATGTGTTTTCCAGAATGACAGCCAAAATTGGGAGCTGGCCAGAATGGCCCAGGTTTGCCCTCCAACTGTTCCCTGGGATGTTGGAGTCCTCCCACCTGGGCACTGGCCATGGTGTGGACGGCTTGTGTGAAGAAGGGAACACAGGGGTGGAGTGGGAAGTACCTTCTGTATCATCTGTTGAAGGGGGCCAGGCCTCCACACCTGTGGGTATTTCTCCTCAGGTAGGACGAGAGACTGAGGAAAGCAATAAGACACAGAGACAAAGTATAGAGAAAGAACAGGGGACCCAGGGGACCTGCGCTCAGCATATGGAGGACCTGCACCATCACTGGTCTCTGAGTTCCCTCAGTATTTATTATTATTTCCACTATCTCAGCAAGGGAAATGCAGCAGGAGAGCAGGGTGATAGTGGGGAGAAGGTCAGCAAGAAAACATGTGAGCAAAGGAATCTGTGTCACAAATAAGTTCAAGGGAAGGCACTATGCCTAGATGTGCTCGTAGGCCAGATTTGTGCTTTTCTCCACCCAAACATCTCAGTGGAGTAAAGAGTAACAAAGCAGCATTGCTGCCAACATGTCTCGCTTCCCACCACAAGGCAGTTTTTCTCCTATCTCAGAACTGAACAAATGTACAATCAGGTTTTATATCGAGACATTCCATTCCCAGGAGCAGGCAGAAGACAGAGGCCTTACTCTTATCTCATCTGCAAGAGGCCTTCCTCTTTCACTAATCCTCCTCAGCACAGACCCTTCACGGATGTCAGACTGGGGGCCGGTCAGGTCTTTCCCATCCCACAAGGCCTTATCGCAGGCTATCACATGGGGAGAAACCTTGGACAACACCTGGCTTTCCAGGGCAGAGGTCCCTGTGGCTTTCCGCAGTGCATTGTGCCCCTGGTTTATTGAGAATGGAGAATGGAGATGACTTTTACCAAGCATACTGCCTGTAGACATTTTGTTAACAAAGCACATCTTGCATAGCCCCAGATCCCTTAAACCTTGATTCCACACAATACATGTTTCTGTGAGCTCAACGTTGGGGCTAAAGTTACAGATTAACAGC